ATACTTAGAGTAGGGTTTTGGGGGCTCCTTCTTACAACTATAGTACAATATACCCCCAAACCCTATTGTAATTGTTCAGGCCCCTATAGTAACAGGAATACCACGGGCTTAATAGTCGTGATTGTCCACTCCACATCCAGTCGGCCTCGCGCGCCGATCGACGATTCGCCGGACTGTTTAAGGTTTAGAGTTTAGGGTTCTGGGTTTATGGTTTAGGGTTCTTGTGAGGGATGTGCCGCCGGGTGCAGGTACACATGGGGTGCGGCGCTCCATTCCACGACCACCATTCCACACCCGACATGGTTGTCAGTCTCCTGGATTCCCGCATCGACCACGATGTTCTTTGAAGATTTCCCCATCTGAACACATGTACCCGAATTTCCGTTCAGGTAGGCATGGGCCCTGGTGGTCCTGCAAGCGATCCACCCCCATCCCCTGACCGAGCTGGCCTGCCAATTGCCCATTTCGCACTGAGTAGCTCGAGTAGATGACTCGCAGAAGCAAGGGTTGGAGTAAGGTTTTTTTTGGCGGGCCTCCACAACACAACCCTAAACCCTGAACCCTAAACCAAGAACCCTAAATCTTCCATAACACAAGTACACTAGGGACCCCGAGGAACGGCGTCATGCTTTGGTTGGGGGGGTGTCAGGGGATGTTCTTACACACAAAAACCAATTTAGGGAACCCTAAACCCGTTCCCAAAACGAATGACGATAAATGTTACTGGTGACTTAGGATTTAGGGTTTAGGGTTTTGCTGGCGACAATGACTAACCATATCATGATAAGGATACTTACCTCGCAGTGACAATCTCAGCTACGGTATCTGCAATATGGCGAAAGCGAGAAATGATAACCATCACACCCTCTCAAAGCCTCCACCTCTCAATGCTTCCAAGAAACCTCTGAGATACGTCGCTAATCCCATCCTCCAACCCTTCTGACTTCCAACACGAAGGCTCCAGACAAAAAAGAGCCCCACCGAAAAGCACTCAGCTGATTCCACCCTAGACTCTAAGCCCTAAACCTCCAAACCCTCATTAGCTGAGTACTTGCCTTGGTCCTTCCAGGAAGCAACGTCCTGCATTCGGTTCCGGGATGTTGAGTTTGATTCGGGAGTCTTGACAAGGGATTTTGGACTTCGGGTTGAAGGTTTAGGGTTCAGGGTTTAGGGTTTTGGACTTCGGGTTGAAGGTTAAAGTCTTGAGGCTTACGGCTCAGGAGTTCCAAAGCAGTTAAATCTTCTTGCCTGCGGCGGGGTTGGGATCAAGCCTGGGAGTCTGCATGAGGGCAGTTCTCTAAATCAGGGTCCCTTGTTAGGTCCCCATTATAGTACGGCACCCTTATAAAAACGGACCCCAAAAGGGACCCTAATTTAGACAACTACCCATGAATATTTGCACCGCCAGGAAACGTTCGCGGGGAAAACAACTTGCCTGGGGAGCTTAGCGATTCGTTTATTACTGCTGTTGGAACCATCAGGCCTTGCGGTTGACTGGAGTCCTGCTGAGAAACTCTTGCCTAATCACAGTACTATTGCAAGCATATTGGGATCAAGATATCCCTTTAACCGAGTTCTTGACCCCAAAAAGAGTTTGGAGTCGGTTCCGCCCTGGTCCTGGATGAGCAGTGGTGCTGCAACGAAGTAGGGCACGTTCAGCGACGTCAAGATCTCCTGTCAGAGTCATGTGATGTATGGTTTGTTTGCAAAACATAAGCGCTTTAACATTATATTACGAGTCTCCGCAATAATCGTTTGACAAGGTTTTTTCGAGCTGCCATGGGGAGGTTTTTACACGATGTCCCAAAGGCGTTTATCGGGATTTGTTTTCTCGTAACTACTTTATCCGCAATGACACCCTATGCAAACCAACATCCCTAAGGAGACCAGTTACAAACACTCGTTAAATTCCCGAATATAGACCCGACCTCATGTGAAGACATCGATACTCACGTGGGTTGAGCTTAGGGTTTAGCATGGAATGGTTTGAGGCTGTTTGTGGAGAGTTTAGTTTATGGTTGAGGGGTTTGCGGTTTCCTGGTTAAGGGCTCAGGGTTTCAGCGCCGAGCTGAGGGTGTTTTTACGACGCAAGGCATTCCCCAAACCCTAAACCCTAAACCGCGCGGTGTTAGATTTCGACGCAGGAACACCGGAGCCGAGGCAGCAAGAGCCTTCGAGAGCTCAAGAGCTCACTAGCTGGCTCACTATCTCAGTCGCAGAATGCCGTAAACCCTAAACCCAAAGCCCTGTACACGAAACCCTAAACTAAGCTCTCAATTAGATTCTGCCCAGGACCCCCCGATCGTGCATTGTCTGTTGGAGCACCAAATTGCCGAAACAACCAACTTCGCTCAGACGTCACAACACACCCGCAGCCTTTGCTGATCATAAACCTGACCCAACACCCGAAATACATCAAAGCCGTTGCAGAGTTCAGCGCTTTGTCGTCGAAGGCTGGCGACGTAGGATTCTCTGACTCGGGTTTCACAGTTTGGCGTTAGGGTTTCCACTGGAGCTGACGGCATAGACTGTTTGATGTCGAATCTGTAGGCTCTGATACCCTAAACGCTGAACCCTAAACCTTATGCCTAAACCCTAAATCCTAAACTCTAAACAGAACAGCTTTCACAGATTCCGCCGACGGCTGAGGACTTCGACGACCCAAAGTCTCCACGCTGCAAATGCACATGGGTAGCTCTCAATTAGGGTCCCTTTGGGCCTCCTTGTTATAAGGCTACACTTGGGACCTAAAAAGGGACCCTGATTTGGAGAACTACTCACATGGCGAAGTCACGGCAGAAGGCTTTCATGCGAGTTCTAACCCTAAGTCCTAGGCATCAAGCTACAGAACTCACAAACCCTAAAACCGGGCTTAAAATTCTGCTTCAACCTGTACACCGGCCGCTCTAGACTTGAAGCACTCCTCAACACCAAACGCTGCACCCTGCAGACCCTTGGACTCCAAGCCGTACACCCTGATCTCTACTTAAGTTTCAGGGCAAACTTGGAGGTTCATGGCTGGTTATAAGTGGCGTTATATGTCCCTAATATGGGTCATAAGTATAGCTGTCCTACTTATAACCGCACTTATAACTACCCATGAGCCCCCAAGTAGGGTTCCGGGTGTATGGTTTGGGGATCCCGAAATTAACTACGCACCCTACACGCAGATGGGATCCTTTGCGATCTCGCTGTTGCGCCCGCCCTCCATGGAGCCTCTGGAGTTAGCGCTGGCCACGCTTTGGGCCTAGACCCTTTAACCTAAACCCTAAACCCTAAACCTCTAGACCCCTAAACCCTAAACCTTTAAACCCCTAAACCCTAAACCCAAACCCCTAAACCCCTAAACCCCTAAATCCCTAAACCCTAAATCCTAAAATGTGGGGTTATCAGCTTGTCGGGCTTTCGAACCTCGGCTTCATATCGAAACCCTGGATGGTTGTAGGGCCTGGGTTTTAGGGCCTAGGGTTCAAGGGGCCTGGGTTTTAGGGCCTAGAGTTCAAGGGGCCTAGGTTTTAGGGTAAGGTTCAAGGGGCCTTGGTTGCAGGGTAGGGTTTAAGGGGCTTCGGTTCCAGGATTTGCACAGCCTTAGGATTCCAAAGGAGCGGTACCATGTAAGTAACAGGATCCTCATCACCAGGTAAAGCTCCCCAGTTCTCGGAACCAAAGACCTTACCTGGCAACCCAAAACCCTACTTGGCGGTTCATGGGTAGTCATAAATATGGGGTTTTTAGGGGACTTATACCCCCACTTATAACTACCCATGAACCTCCAAGTATACACTATGAAACCTGCACGGAACCCTAAGGGATCTGTTCGAAGACAGCGGCGCAGAAAAGCTGGAAGTAGTCTGTCAGTCTATGGTTGCTGAGCCCATCTCCGATGGTTTAGGGTTTAGGGTTTAGGGTTTAGGAAACAGCATGAAACCGAAAACGCTGAAGATTTGCAGCTACACCCTAAACCCCCGTTCTAGCGCTTCGTACATCAACCCCGCTCGACAATTCCCCATGTCCCAAGCCAAGAGACCTGCCGGCCCACCAACGAGTGGAAAGCCTGGTCGACATTCGGCGTTTGGGTTTAGGGATTACTTGGAGGTTCATGGGTAACTAGTTATAAATGGGGTTATAAGTGGGGTAACTATACCAACTATACTTATAACCCATATTAGGGCACTTATAACCCCACTTATAACTACCCATGAACCTCCAAGTAGGGATTAGTTTTCAGGGCACTGACGCGGACTTTCGACCATCCCTGCCGTGCGCCGGCTTACACTACTGGAGCCCACCACCTCACTGCTGCACTTCCCTGCGTCTGCAAGCTGCGGTAACAGCTTGGCGATATGGAAGCCGTTTTCAAGACCGTCTGAGGTAAGCACTGGCGCGGATGCAGGTGCGGATGCATTGAAAGCTTTTCGTCCAGTCAAGGCCGCCAATCTCTCCGCCTGGTACTTAGCAAGCGGAGAGCATGGCGGCCTTGACTGGACGCATTGGGTGCCTTTGCGGCGGAGCTTGCTGCCTTTGCGGTGGCAAGCGCCGTCTTGCACCCCATCACGGCACCAGGCTACCTCCTGGGCGGCATGGCGAACTGCGCAGCAGCCTGGTTGGGTGGATCCCGCGATCCACCCCACCAGGCTGCTGCGCAGTTCGCCAGATTTTCTCCAGGTAGCTGCCACTATCTTCACCGTTGTCTCTGCTATGGCGCACCAGGCGAAGTGCTCTTTCAAGAGCCGGGCATCAATGGCAAAGGGCCCTGGCTTCGCTTCAATTCTGCTTCAAGTCTCGGCACACTCGGGAGGCCCATGGGCCTCCCGGTGCTCCACTGCACCGGGAGGTCCATGGGCCTCCCGAGTGAGTGAAGCTGGACCAGCTTCCGACAGACAACCTCTGTATGCAACGACCACGACTTGTTACAACCTCATCAACTTGTAACGACTTACTCAGTCGACCAGCCGTTCAGTGGAATTGGGGTCATGTACAGTGTACAGTCCCATGTCCACCGTCCAGATCACCCAGATCAGCACGATCAGAAGCACCCAGGTCATCCATTCCCTCAGACTCCTCGTCTCCTTTCAGTTTGACGTGCATGTGCTTGTCCGTCTCGAAGCAAAGCTTGCGGACGAGAAAGAGGCAGAGGCAAGCGCTCAGAACTCCAGCTACGATGGCCCCGATGAAGTGCAAGGGATCTTGTCCCAAGAACCCAGCAGGGATGGCATCCTGGTTGGATGTCGCGGCGGTGCTGCTTGGCACCGTGCTTTTGACACTGGTGCCAGGTAACTCGCCGCGAGGCTGTCCCAGTGCCTGCCCGACAGCTGGGTTGCCACCAGTGTTAATGCGGCTGGACGATGAAGTCGCGGCCGCAGTTGTGGTCGGATGGGCAGTGGCAACTGGTGCAAGAGCAGATGCACGTGCTGTCGGTGCTGTCGTGGCCATGGTGGTTTGGTCGCTGGCAGAAGAGACGAAGCCTTTGCTGAATGAGATGGTCGGTCACGATCTTTGTATCCCGGACAACTTGCCGGAGCAATTCCAACTTAGTTCTTTTCCATGTCGAAAATGATGTCCTGGTGCATCCATCCAGACCGCCCCCAGCAACGTGTGCGCACGAGGGCCGTCATCTTCGAAGCCGTAGCAGTAAGTGTCGGTTCTCCCTTTCCTGTAAAAATATGCTTCTGGAACCCACTTCGTCTCCAGGCCATTAAACACAACAGAGATCTGGGGAAACTTCTCAGGTCCATGGGGCGATGTCCAGCACTTTGTGCCATGTTTTGTGTCGCCACACTGGTGACCTCGGCAATACGTCTCAATGGCGCTCATCAGCGTCCTGCAGGTTACTGCTGCGCATGTAGGTGTACGTCGTGCCACTGTCAATATGCTGCTGAGACAAGCAAGAGCAAACGCTTTTGCATCGAGCTCCTATTCAGCGCTTCGGATGTTCATAGCTGTCAAAGTGGACCACGGCGCCGCGTTACATGAGGACCGAAGTTGGTTCATAGAAGGGTTTAGGGTTTAGGGCTTAAGGTGTTTAGGGGCGGTTAGAGCATTCATTAGGCTTGCTGAACCCCAACTAAACCCTAAACCCTAAGACGCTAAGCCTTGAGTTTGGGGCTTCGGGTTATTAACTTATAGAACCCTATAGTTCCCTTTAAAGGAACCTATAGAACCCTATAGTTAGTTCCTTTTGAAGGAACTTATAGAACCCGTTCAGGTCGCAGTTGGCTGGAGGGATGCTCAGAGCCCAGGTTTCAGTGCAGGGCTTTCTTGGTCTTGGACGGTTGCGTTTCGGGTTTAGGGTTTAGGGTTTAGGGTTTAGGGTTTAGGGTTTTGGGTTTAGGGTTTAGGGTTTAGGGTTTTGGGTTTTGGGTTTAGGGTTTAGGGTGTAAGGTTTTAGGGCTTAGCGTTTAGCGTTGTTGGTGGGGTTAAGACAATCTCCGAAATCCCGAAACTGCACCGCAGGGCTTTAGGTCCCGAAGCCCCGCCATACCACACCACGAGACCCCAGCAGAAACCCTAAGTCTTCTAGGCCCCTGATGAATGCACTCTTCCTACGATGGGGATCCGAATATCATAGCTATTTACGAAGGGTCTTCAACACCAAAAACCAGAAACCCTCGGAGAACATGAGGTCGCCGCCTATGGTGTTGACGACGGCGTCCACATGCACTGCATCCGGAGAGAGGGTCCTCTGAGTTCTTGCGTGCAATCAGGATTTGGGGTTCGAGTTCCAGCGGAATCTCACAACAGCGCACACAAGACTCCGCTTTCTGCTATTTACTACTACCGCTCTATAACCCTACAGCGGCAACCTTCAGCTCAACAAAGTGCGAGTATGCAGCACAAGGAGCTCAAAAACGGAGAGCGATACACCAAAAGCCCCTCTCAAAAGTTCGAACTTACGAACTTAAGCTTAGAGATTTCCGCCCCAGGTAAGTGCTATCTCGAAGCGCAAACACTCGTGAGTAATATGGGGGCCTTAATTCTCAGAATAAGGTTTTGGGGGGGGACAGCATACTACAGTTACAAAAAAGAAAAGCCAAAAAAACAACAATGTTGGTAATTTTGTTGGCCCCTCGATTAGGTGTTGCATCCTGCTCCTAGCTTCTGTTTTGAAGCCCACCACTCCCCAGATCGGAGATCAAGGTCCTGTTCGCCGGCACTTCGCCAGACCTTCGGCTGACATTCCTAAACCCTAAACCCTAAACCCTAAACCCTAAACCCTAGACCCTAAACCCTACAGGTCCAAGCCTGCTACAATCTCAAAGATTGAGTTCGAAACTCCTAAACCCTGAACCCCACAACGTAAACCTACACCCCCTAATGATGAACCCCAAAGCCTAAACCCTAAACCCTACAAACCCTAAAGCCCTAAACCCCAAAACCTAAACCCTAAACTCTAAACCCTAAAAACCCTAAAGCCCTAAACCCCAAACCTTAAACCCTAAACCCTAACAGCCTGAAGCCCTAGACCCGAGTAACCCCCAAGGCAAACTGGAGCTTGGGGTTCTGTGTTCCAGGGGCTTCGTCCGGGCTTCGGGTCAGGAGTACTGTAGGGTTTAGGGCTTTCGGGTCTTAGGGTTTAGGGTCTAGGATTTTAGGGTTTAGGGTCCAGGATTTTAGGGTTTTGGGGTTTTAGTTTTTAGGGTTTAGGGTTTTAGGGTTTAGGGTTTAGGGTTTTAGGGTTTAGGGTTTTAGGGTTTGGGGTTTAGTTTTTAGGGTTTGGGGTTTTAGGTTTTAGGGTTTAGGGTTTGGGTTCTAAGGTCTAGCGCTGGCTCTTGTGGATTAGGGCTTCTGATCTGGATGAAAATGGAGGGCTTAGGGATTGAGGGTCTAGGATCTAAGGATGAGGATTTGCGTAGGGCGAGTGTATCTTGTGACAAGGTCGTGTCGAGTGCTATGGCAATCAGCTGTCAAAGCAAGATTTTGGTGCCAGTGCAGGACTTATGCAAGCGGTAGGGGCACGCAAACATGTCTAACACAATCTATCTTTCTATCTATCTATCTATCTATCTATCTATCCGTCTATATCTATCTGTCTATATCTATCTATCTATCTATCTATCTATCTATCTATCTATCGATCCATCTATCGATCGATCGACCTATCGATCTATCCATCTATCGATCTNNTCTATCTATCTATCTATATGTGTATAAGCACGCATCATACACTTACACATGTAGGTCCATATGTGATATCTTTATGTCCTCCGTTAATCTATGTACACATGCATGTCGTCATGTGTTTGCATGTCTTGTTACATATGTAGAGGTCGACTTTAATTATGCATGTGCTTGTTTGCTTGTTTACTTATATCATACTCAATTCATAAAGCTCCTGTAGTAATTACAGACAACCCTGCAGATAGACTTCCAACCCTGGGCCCTAAACCCTAAACC